CCAGCATGCAAGCCCCAGCAGAACCCCTGTGAAGATGCAGAGAAGGCCTCTAAGGATGGGGCAGGCCAAGCTCAGGGTGCTGCAACCTTCCATCCATTGTGCTGGTTGATCCGAATGGCTTTGTTTTTCCTGTTTTATGATCATCATCACTATTATATCTTCATTACCATTTTTCTCCCCACAGAGTTTCATGGCCCATTGGAAGGGCTTTTGCTCTGCAGTGGAGTAAGACATCAATTCTCGGAATACTTTTCCTCCCGCAGCCTGAGAACACAGTGATCCTTTATCTAGGACAGACTGGTTCCCCAGGAGTAAGAGGAGAGGCAGAGAGGCAGCCAGGCTACCAACCAGGGGGCCTGATGCCCACGAATAGTAGTGGGGATTTCTTACTTCCGAGTCCATTAATTGTTGCATATTGTTTTCTTTTGCCTTTTTGAAGGCTGCTCAGACCACAGCTGCAGTCAGGTCTCACAAAAGCCCGGGGTAGGCAGGGAGGATGAGAATTTTGCAGGTGAGAAAACTGAGATTCAGAGTGGCTGGACATCAGCCCAAAAGTTGCATCACAATTGCTAGAACTGCAGGGCTGGACTCAGGCCTCTGGCTGTTCTTCTGGCCTGTCCACATGTCCCCTCCACTGGGGGAAGATAGGAATCCACTCATTCCTCAGCCCAGAGCCAGCCCAGAGACAAGTGGGACACCAGGAAGGGGGAGCCAGTCAGGAAATGGCTTGGACTCTGCCTGGATGGTGGTCCAAGGGTGCTGGCTTTCCTAGAGGGTTGTGGTGGACAGGGAAAGAGGACTCTGGAACAGATGGTGGCTCAGAGGCCATTGACCCCTCTGTGGGGCCTGGATCTGGGGGTCAGAGAGTCTGTCTGCACCTCCCAGGTCTCTGTTCCATGCCTGTCAGTACCTCTCTCTGCCTTTCTGTCTCTCCCTCCCTCCTGCCTCCTTCCTTCCTTCCCTGTCTGCCTGCCTGTCCGTCCGTCCGTCCGTCCGTCCGTCCGTCCGTCTGTCTGTCTGTCTGTCTGTCTGTCTGTCTGTCTGTCTGTCTGTCTGTCTGTCTTTTCACCAGATAACATTTCCCTGCTGCACCAGGTGACATCCAGGAAATGAGGCAGCTCTTTCTCTCCTGGCTGGAAGCAGCCCTTGGTGGGGTAGGTGTTAGATGTCCCCACCCTCGCTCATTTTCAAGGTAAGTTCTGTGTCTCTTTGTTCCCTCCATTTGATACTATAATTGAGCCATTTTCCTGATTCCTTGATTCAGCAGCTTGATTTTGGAAATATTCGTTCCATTGTCCCTCCCAGGCCTCATCTCCTGGGTTCCCTCTCCTCCCTATGCAGTCTGCACCTGGTTCTCATAATATTATCTTTCATACAGCAGTGCAAAGCAAAATAGGGCCTTTTTCTCCTCATATCCTGGTCCTCACATTGATATCTTTCATAGAAAAAATAATGCTTTGAAAGACCTTTGGATCACTTTGCGGCTGTATGCTGTAGGCCTGCTATTCTGGTGGGAAAGCCTGCCCACCCATCCCCTCCTGACGCAGGGACAGCAAAATACAGTGAGCTGAGGAAACAGACTGATTACGCAAATCCTATGTCGCGCGTTTGTGCCCCTCCTGGTTTCCTATCAAATAAACAGTAGCAAGTCGCCTGAAAGTGGAGAGCAGGACAGTGAGATCTCAGAGAAAAAGAGAAGACGGGCCAAGCAGTTTGTTCTTAGCAACTGGAGTCAGCGCTTCCAGTCACAGTGACAGCCACCCTGGGGACTGCCTATGGCTGTGCAGCCCTGAACACTAGCATCCTATCTCTACCCCTTGGATTCTCTGGTACTCTTTGGGGGTGATGGGAAGATTCATTAAAATAGCAGTGATGGTCATTTTTCAAGGATGTCTCAGGCACTGCTTAGCGCTTCTGACTCTGCTAAGCACCCTGCGGCCAGGTTTCCCCTCCGGTCTCATCACATCCTCCAAGTCCCATTGCTCAGGGGTAAATGCCAAGAGACTCGGAGAGTGGCTGAAGGTTCCAGAGCAATTGTGCAACACTGCAGGGACTAAGGCTGACACCTCACGGGGAGACATCCTCACACGAGGCTCCACCCCTAGTTGTGCACTTTAAACGTTTTTATTCGTGCTCTGGTCCCACAAAAGGGCACAGTTAGGAGGAGGGTCAGCTTCAGTCTGCTGTGTAATAACTCTGTATCCTGCCTCCAGAGAGCTTTGGAATAAAGGCTGCCTTAATTAGCAGCATGGTGCTCTTTGGGGCCAAAGAAAAGAGGCAATAAAGCAACTCTCAGAGCAGACAGGCGAGTGGCCCCACGCCAAGTGCTGGGTGCTGACGGGCGGAGATTAATGACCCAGAAAGTAGCACAGGGCTGGGAGGCTGGCCTGTGGCTTCTGGGGTGGAGAGTGGGCTGCAGTGGTGTGGAGCTGCTGATGGAGGGGGTGTCAGGCTCCTTCCTGGCTCTTCAGGGTATCCTCTGGGGTCACAGCAGCCCTGTTCAGCCTGAGTCTGTGGCCCTCACCATAGGGCCAGGTTCAGGAGCCCCAGGATGCCTCAGCCTGGAACCAATTCAAGCACCCCAGAGCTGTGTGCTCCCTGTCCCCAAAGTTCCCAGGCTCCGACCTGCTCTTGTGCTTGCTGGTCTCAGAACTGTTTGCACTGGTAAAGAGTGGAAGACCTCAGAGAGGTCTGTTATGTAGCCTCTCTCAATAAAATGCATCACATTAGAAGCTAAAACAAGAATAATGGTTATAAAATGTGTATTTTAATTTACAAATAACAATAATAAAACCATTACAAATGAACCAAGTAGCATATTGTGGGGAATAATCACTAGGCATTTGCAAAGCAAAAATATACAGAGAAGGGATTGCTTTCCAGTTTTGCAGCTTTCTTAGACCTAGAAAAGCCTGGATCTTCCTGCCTCCTGCACTCCATTGGTTGTGAGGTTGTTGGGGTAAAGTCTGTGAAGAAAATCAGGCTTCATACAAGTATGTAGTTAGAGAGGAGAAGGCATCCCGAGCCTTCTGGAAGGACTGTCAGGGGTTCTCAGACCACACCTTTAGAACCACTGAATTCATTCATTCATTCATTCATTCATTCATTCATTCACTCATTCATTCATGCTTCCATTTATTTATTCCTTTACACGGAAATGGTCATTTAGCCCATATTTTGAGTACTTCCAAAACTGGACTTGCAGGTGAATACAGTGTCTCACTTCCTGGTTGAGGATGCAGACACACAAACAGGCTTAGGCCTTGGACAAGATGTGTCACTTCTCTGAACCTCAGTTCTTCCATATACACTGAGTGAAAATGTGACTGTCTCTAAGTCATTCTATCCTCAGAGTGACTAATAGGGGTCATGTTTCCATGATCCATAGTATTCAATGATAACATTGGTGGTGATGGTGATGGTGGTGGTTGTGATGGTGATGATGGTAGTGATGATGGTAGTGGTGATGCTGGTGGCGGTGGTGGTGATGGTGGCAATGATAGCAGTGATGATAATGATGCTGATGGTGGTGCTGATGGTGATGGGGGTGGTGATGGTGATGGTGGTGGTGATGGGGGTGGTGATGGTGATGATGATGGTAGTGATGGTGGTGATGGTGATGGTGATGATGGTAGTGATGCTGATGGTGGTGTTGATGGTGATGGGGGTGGTGATGGTGATGGTGATGGAGGTGGTGATGGGGGTGGTGATGGTGATGATGATGGTAGTGATGGTGGTGGTGGTGATGGTGGCAATGAGAGTAGTGGTGATAATAATGGTGATGTGGTGATGGTGCTGATGCTGGTGATGGTGGTGGTGATGGTGGTGCTGATGCTGGTGATGGTAGTGATAATGTGCTCACATTCAACTTCTCTCCTACCCTCACACTGAGCTATATACATTTGGCCAAAGAGGACACACAAAGAGGTCGAATACTTGCCCAAGGGAGTCACACCCAGGGCTCTGGACTCCATGAGCTCCATTCACAGCCAGGACAATTTGTGTTCAGTCCCCATTACAGTCTCCAGATAAACAGTCTCAGGCAGAGACCCATGTCTGCCACTGTGGCAAATCTCTGGAGTTCCACTTGGCAACTAAAAATACAGACTAGATGCTAAATAACCAGGGCCAGGTTTATTCAATGC